AAAAAAAAAAAAAAAAAAAAAAAAAAAAACAACACATCATAGTAAAACCAATACCTTCTCAGCTTCGCATCGAAGCTAAAATAAAATAGACAAGTAGATTTTTAATGATGTTTAATACTAATTTGATATAAATATGGATGTCCATAGAGTAATTAACAAGGGGTCTTGGAGGAGACAATTATTTTCAGCTATAGAGCTATTGTTCACTATTGTTTACATACAAGGAAAATTAACGAAATTTAAGCTTTTATTATTTATTTTTAACAATAAATTATGAATAACGAAGTAATTAAAATTATTACTGTATTATTAAAAAAAAAAAAATTTCATAAACATAATTTTTATTATAAACATATATATTATATATAATTTATATTATAAACATAATTAAAAAAAAAAAATAAAATAAAATCTTATAAGCCTCAATTTTTATTTTTTTTGTTTTTATTTTTCAGAGAAATATATCCCTCCTTGTTCCCAAATATATGCTTATCAAACTTTGACATAATTAAATTTGGTGCATGCAATGATAAAAATAGTTGAACATTTATGAAATAGCTAAAAAAATTAGTCTATTGATAACCCAACTAGTTACACGAAAAATAATTTTTAAAAATCATTACATAAACTGCAATTAGTAAAACATAAATAGTTAATTATAATATAATTTCAAATTAAAATGATAGAAAAAAAATAGTAATTGTTATAAGATTAATAATTTAACATAATGATCCAGGAAATCGAGGAAGATTATTGATAAAAAAAAAGTTGCAATTACTGAGGGTTGTAATTGTTATAATGTACAAAGTCAATATTTTCTTATTTTTTTTTTCATTAAATCATTTTCGATGTTATAAAAATATATTTATATTTTCAGCAAGCCTTCCATCAATATTTATGCCTATTGGATGCCTACTTAGCGGACCATTGATTGACCGTTTAGGACGAAAAACAGCGTTAATGGTTATTAATTTTCCATCAATCTTGGGATGGCTGTGTTTGGCTCAACAACCTGTTGATTTAACTGTTTTTTACATTGGACAGCTATTTGTTGGTTTATCAGTAGGTATGTCATCAACTCCTGCCACAGTATACGCCGCAGAATGCATTACGGTTAATTACACGGGACTGAGAGGTTGTTTTACGATAATGACATCGATTATGCTAAATTTTGGAATGTTCCTTACCTATTTTCTCGGAATGTTGATTCCGGTTAATTCTATTGCTTACACAGCAGCGTTTGTTTCTCTAGCTTCTTTGTTAGGCATTTGTTGTTTAATTCCTGAGAGTCCCCCTTGGCTATTTGGACAGGGTCGCCGCGGAGATGCTGAACTATCGCAAAAAGTTTTACGCATCACTCAACCTATACTGCAAGCGCCCAAAGTCGAGTTACTCGAGGAAAAGCCTGTGCAACGTTCAGAATTTTTCGTAAGGGTTCGCGATCCCGACGTTTACAAGCCTATTATTATTATGACGACGTTTTTATTTTTACAACAAACTAGTGGATCTTTTGTAGTAACAACATACGTGATCCAAATACTGCAAGACTTGAAAGTTACCGTTAATAGCTATTTAATTACATTAATAGTTGGTTTTACTAACCTCAGCGCCATGAGTATTTTGTCATTACTGCTTACTAAAAACGGATTCAAGCAATTATCACTCGTATCATGCTCTGGAGTATCATTATGTATGATATCATTAGGATTGTTCCTGTATTTTGACGTTAGAGACGGTGTAATAACCAATATAGTCGTTATAGCTCTGATATTACTGTACACAGCCTTGAACGGACTTGGTTTGCGGCCAATACCGTTTGCTATGCTCGGAGAAGTATTTCCAAGCGATGTCGCCGGCGTAGCCGGTTCTTTTGCTACTTGTAGCTCTTCCATTTTCAATTTTATCGCCATCAAAATGTACCCCTACTTTTTCATATGGTTGGGCCCAGGAGTATTCATAATGTATGGTCTTATATCATCGCTTGCCATTATATTTGTGATAAACTTCCTTCCGGATACTAAAGGCAAAACTATACAACAAATCGGTGATGATTTTACCAGAGATGATGATGCGTCAACTACAACGGATATAATTTAAATTTTAGTAGCTTATACATTTCGATCTCAAAATTATTCTTATACTTTTATAGATAATTCTTGTAATAATATTTTATTTTTATGTTAACGTGTTGTTTTTCCTGAACTTTACAAAATTAAAGTTTTAAAAAGGTACTAATATAAACAACTTTTGAACAAATATATTGATTGTTTTGTCAATTATGATTACTATTTAAGGTATACCTACGAATTAAAGATCTGTGTACATTTTTTATTAATTTTTAGAAGGTTTGCATTAATAGTTTTTTTAACGTGTCTGACACTGATAAATACATATCGATATGTTCATTTTTGTAATTTTTTGGGCTTCAAAAAAATAATTTAAGGGTAAAATAAAAGAGAATTTATTTGAAAAACTTCACAACACTTTGAAAATGTATATTTTAAATGAACATTAAGTATGAAAATGTTAAAAAATGTTTAAAAATATTTGTACATAAGAATAAACATGCATTTAATATTTGATGAAGATTCCTAGGTAAAACTTACATTAGTGATTTGTGTATTTTTACATTGAACAAAGTCATGTATTATAGAAATTACGCAAGTCCAGGGATTTCAAAAGCGTCCCCTTATGTTAAAATAGTATGGTTTTTATTTTTTTGGTATAAATTCATCGAATACTTTTCTTTAGTTATTTTAGTTTCAACGAAATACACCAATGCATTGGTGTGCATTTTTAAGCAAAAATCGCAATGGTAGCTTAAAAACAGTCTTTCAATGTTTTCTATTAGTTTGATATTTTGGGCTCGTGTGCTTGTGTGATCGACGATCAAATAAATAGTTGAAATACGTATTTCGTATAACACTTTATAAGAAATGTTTCAGTATGTTGAATGAAATATTTTTATAGTGGTCTAAATATTTTCTTTAATTACACGTGCATATTACTTTATATCTAAGTACCTAATTAAAATTTAGTATGATAATTTTAAAAATTTTTCTATAAGATTCATTCATAATTTTTAACACATGACAGAAAACATTCTTTCTTTATGTATTATATATATATTAAAAATATACTTTTGTTACTTTTAGATATAAACCACCGATAAACTTTAACTATAAAATAGTTGTTTTAATATTTAGGTTTTAATTATCATATAGTTTTCAATTTAAAATTTTGAAATCTATGTAATTTTTTTGTAATTTAATTCAATGACAATAGTCAACTTTTATACAAAATTAATTCAACTCTTATTTGATGTATATCAAAGAATAATATTTTTCACATAAAAATTCAAAGTTTTTATAAATATATAAATGAGGAAGCGCTAATAAACTTCAATTTATTTAGACCTAATTAAAATGTTGAGAGTGAAAATTTGACCATAATCAGTTAATTTTATTCAATGTTATAATTTTTTGATAATTACTATGATGTTTTTCTATATCGAGCATAAGCTTGGTATAGAAAAATCAGCATAGTAAAATATAAATTTTAAATATTCAAATTAAAAAATTGCTTGATGCCACATTACTTTTATTATTATGTTAAAAATATGAAATTATTTCAACGTCAATCAATTATTAATAAATCTCAACTTGATATCCTAAAATACTTGTTATAATAATTAACATATTGACACAGTAGGTTTGATGCAAAATTGCGCAAAGTATTTAAAATGTATAAAGTATATTAAAAATATATCAATTCAAACAATTATTTAACAGTTTAAATAATAAGTATGATAGTTTCTTAAATTAAAAATAAATTTAAAAAAAACAATTTAATAAAATAAAAAATTTAATGATATGTATGTATTAGCATATGCTTATTATTAAATAATAATTTTAATTGAATACAACCAGATAATCATTTTTAATTATTCTTCTAATAGATTTGAATACTTAAATATTTTAAGTGATATTTTTATGTCAAAGTCTGCTTGATCTTTATCAAAAACATAATCGTGTGACATTACATATTTACAATTTAAATATACAACTAAAACAATTTTACGTCAATATAAATTTTTTTAATGTATTTGGTTTAGATACATTTAATGTTTAATTAATTGTCTGTTTTTTTATTTGAAATTTTTCAAATAGAATTTATATTGTTACATTTGTACAACAATCATGCACTCCAATTTTTTTTTCAGAAATGTTAATATTTTCCCTAAATAATTAATAATAATATTTAAAAATTGTATGTACTTAAAGGGAAAAAATTAATTTTCAAAAAAAAAAAAAAATTTTTCAATATTTTAAATGTAAAAACAATTTTTTTTAAATTTACAATTTTTCACACAAGTGGCAAGAGTAAATAAATTGGTATTTTAGATAAGAAATTGGGACACATATAATTGCACAGATGAAATATTTTTTATTGTGTTATTAATGTTTTACGTACTCATATAAATTTCAAAAATAAAAAATATAATCTGTATAGTCAACATATTTATTAGACCACTATTATTTTTTCATGATAAAAATTTTATACCGTCAATTATGAAGTTGCTAAAACAAAATGTTTTGCTTGTCTGACGACATATTTGAATTAGTCAACATCTAATCTAATTTACACAATAACTTATTTTTTCATTTTATGAGCATGAATAATCTTAAATTTCCCAAAGTGTTACAGAGTGTTTCACTTATTATGAACCACTTAATTAATCGAAAAATAAAAATAATAATTATACATTTTTTATTTGTTTCTTTTAGCTCAATGTTTTTTGGGGTGTTGCCATCTGAGAATTTAAAGTTTACAGGGATGAACATAAAAAAATTTTCACGATTGAAAAATTGTGAGAATCATTGAACTAAAAGAAACAATTTTAAAAACTAAAATTTATGAAACTTCAATAATTAATATAACTATTTTTACTGCAATTTTATAAAAATTTCTGTTTTATTAAGAAATATTACTTTTTGAGAAAATGTATTCCAAATAGCTAACTATTTTTTGCATTCATTATGATTAAATATTATGATATTGAATTTCAAAATTACTGAACACAATTATCTTTGTCATTATTTTGCTATTTCGAGTAAAAAAAAAACTGGTTTAACAGTTATTTATTAATTAATGTTCTTGTTAAACTTTACTTAATATTATCTTATTTTTTAATACTTTGTTTAACTAAAAAAAATAATAATTGTGTATAACTACCATATATTACAGGTTATATATACAGAATGGTGGATTTATCATAAACCACTCGATTACACGTAAAATAAAAATAATATTTTTTTATTTTTGGGAAGTTAACTCATATTCTGAGATGTCTAAGAAACTTTTTTTTATTACATCTCTCACGAGATCTCCGAAAAATCATGGTTAACTAGTCGAAGATCTCGGATATCCCCTTCTTTAATGCTTGGTCTGTTAATCGGACTATAAAACCAAATATTTAAAAAAATATTTTGCCCTCAAATGAAAATTTTCTGTGGATGTCCAAAGTTTTGAACCAGTATTTCAGAAGTTATTATTATTAACTAATAACTGGTGGTGAGGAATGGGTGATGTTTTTTATCAATAGTCAATTCTCAACTATATTCTTCGTCCCAAAGATATAAAAATGAGAATAACATCCAAAGTATTACACCAAAAGTTGTTATCGACCAGTTATTTTTTTAATTAGATTATTTTCTATTTTATAAACTAGTTGAATATACATGTTGCCATTAAAAAAAATGTAGTTGACATCCCTTTAAGTTATAAGGAATGATTCTAAAAAATAATTGTTGGTTGATAAATCAAAAATTATACGCAACTAAAAAAAATCAAGAAATTTTTATATTGTCATTGTTATATATATCTTGCAAGTAATCGAGTGATTTATGATAAACCTCTGTATATGATAGGAATAAATGAATTTTTTTTAGAATATAGAGAAAAACAAGTTGACAGATAAAAAAAAATTTTAAATGTTGATTATTTTTAACCACTACTCATCAAGTTCAATCAATTTTTAACTTCAGGCTTATTTTCTCAAAAGTGGAAATCTGTATTAATAACTTAAATTTATAAAAACAACATAAATAAATAATTTTTAAACAGAAAAATTTTGAAATTCTAAACCTGATATTTTCTTGGATTTCTCCTTTTTTACAAAATATAATACAAATAGTCAAGTATAAAAGTAATGAATCTAATCCAATTTTGGTCAAATCTTGAGTACTCCAAGTTGATCACATTTCTCCAATATTTTTCTAATATTTATTAATATTTCTACCATCTTGAAACATTTAAATATACTTATTTATGCTAGTATCTCTAAATTATGAGGGACGGTGTGGCCGAGTCGGTAACGCGGCAATGTTTGATGAGCATTGCCTCGGATTGGAAACTTGGTCAGGGGCGGCTTCATTTGCTAAATGAGAGATCAGTTCTCTCTCCAGCGACGGACTAACCACCCGTCCCAGAGTATCAATGGTTTAGAAACCTCCTCCTTGGGGGAGGCCACTACTTAATGGGCTTATAAAGCATTAAAAAAAAATATATATATTTATATAAATTATACAAGCATCTTAATTCAACATATAATACATTAAACTTTATCCAATCAGCTTTTAATAACACTGGCTAACAAAATGATACATTTTTAATCATCAAGATTATATATATGCTTACTACTTAACAGTAAATTTATGAGAAAAGCTCATTATAAATTTTAAATCATTTTTAATCATCAATTTAAACATTTAAAAGATTGAAAATAATTTTAAAAACTCAGCACAGTGCAGTTGTGGCATAGTTGTGACAATTATTGATAATATCTGATATTGATTAACTTTGTTGTCAAAGGCGTCCATAGAAATTTTTCATTTGAGGGCAAAATATTTTTTTAAATATTTGGTTTTACTGTCCGTTTAACAAACCAAGCGTTGAAAGAGGAGGGGTAACTGTGGTCTTTGACTAGTTAGCCATGATTTTTCGGAGACCTCGCCAGAAACGCAACAAGAAGCTCTATAGCGCCTCAGATAATGAATTAGCTCCCCAAATTAATAAAAAATTATATATGTAAAATGTTTTTAGGGCAGGGATAAAGTACAATCAGCATAATTAAAAATAAGCGCCAATAAATTTTATTGAGAAAAATTATAAATAAAAGATTTTTTAGTAATTTTATGTATTATTTTGTCGTAATATGCCAAATGCTTTGCATTACACATCTTACATTTATCGATGAAAAATTGTATTTTATATTACTTGTTTACAAACAAATAATTAATTTATCTGTCATAACATATGCACTGTTTTACACTATTATTAATAATATTTTATATGTATATACCTGTTAAATTAATAATTGTATACTATGCATCTTGCCTTAAAATAATAATCATGTTATTTTCAAATTAATATACAATAAACTGAAAATCACTAAAAGCACTGACGAAAACATCCCATGATGGGGGTAATTAAAAATAATATAAAAAATGCTCAGTTCTGCTTACACATCAAAGAGAGAGCTAGCAAGCCGGAGAGCGACTGGGTATTTGTAGGTCGGATTACCGCCTCGTTGCCTCAGTATCTTGTTAATTCCTGTTTGTAAGGTGCTTATCAATTAATTAGCTTTTTATTCCTCAACAAAGAGGATCCAAATTTATTTCTTTATATCTACTTGTCTTTATTGTTCTAAATCCTCGGACTCTATAACCCCGATAGAACCTCGTTGCTCATAAATTGACCATATCCCCAAGTATCCAACTTTGGTCAACACGTACTCACACACTACATATACCCAATATAGTAGCTTAATTTTGAGTTACTAAAATTTATAAGACTAAGAGTCTTTATAAATTTAATAAATAAAAACCAAACCTACACGACATTAATCTATAAAAAATAATGCTCCTAATTCTAGAACTATATTTCTTACCAGAACGCATAGATAATAAATAACAATTTTATCATGGATAATAAAAAATTATTTTTCAAACCAACTACCTTTTCGGGTGATATAAATGAACAAGTAGATTCATTTTTAAAAACATTTAATAGAGCAGCTAATATAAATAATTGAGCTGAAAAAGATAAACCCCAATATTTAGTTGCACTTTTAAAAGGCTCAGCCTTAAATTTTTATGATAATATTGAATCAAAAAAATTATCATCGAATGAATTAGAGAAGAATTTGATCCTATTGCTCAAGGCGATATATTAGGTATTTTACTAGAGAAAAGAAAACAATTAGACGGTGAACAAACGGTAGCCTATATTAAGCTTTATGTAAAAGAATTGATAATAATATGTCAGATAATAAATTAGTAAGAAATATTTTGAGAGGCCTAAAACCTAGTATTGTCAGATATGTTAGTATTCTTGATAATAATAATTTAAATAAATTAAAAAGAAATATTCACAAATATAATATGGTTAAATTTATGAATAAATGGAGAAACAGCTAAAAATCCGTCTGAAATAAAACAATAAATAATAACTGAAAAAATGAATCAAATGATTAAAATTAATGATAATGATGAAATTGAAAAATTAAATGAAGACATTTTATCCATAAATCAACAATTTAATAAATATATTAATTTAATACCACAAAAGAATCAATATCAAAAAAACTCTCGATTTAATAATTTTTCTTCAGTCAATATTAGATTTCAAAAAACAATAGATTTAACTATAAATCTCAACCATTTAAATTTCAAAATAATTTAAAAACTGATTATGGTTTACAAAACAATAAAAAATTTCAAAATAATTATTTCTCATACAAAATCAATCATAGCAATCATAATCAAAATTATCATGCGCGTTCTAAAAATATTAATTTTAATCAAAATTTAATAGACAAACTCAAAATTCTAAAAATTTGAGTTGTAATATATGTCTTAGAAATTCTCATGACTCAGTAAATTGTTCATTCAAAGATAATCAAATAATATTCCAACTTTGTAATTCAGTTGGTCATACAGCTTTAACCCTTTCAGTCGTGAAAGGGTTAAAGTGTAAAAAATTTCCAAAAAACTATGTTCTAGATTAAACGACAGTGCTGAACAAATCAGTTTACTTTTTAAACCAGCACACAAAATTATCAATAGCATACCACACACTAAACACATGCCAATCGCTTTACATTTTTATGCTTTATTTAATAACATTAAAATACCTATCACGATTAATAAAGGAACAAATATATGTTGCATAACACATACTTTGATACCTCACTAGCAGATCAAATCACAACATAATATGAGAATAAGTGGCCCTGACAATAGATCACTAAATATTTTAGGCACAACGAATATTGTCTTAAAAATTGAATTAATAGATTATCATATTAAAGTAATTGTAGTAAAAGACTTATCTTGTTAAATATTTCTTGGTAATAATTTTTTGGAACAACACAATAGTATCACAGACTTTGATAAGGAAGTAATAAAATTTTATGAAGGTACTTTTATACCTAGATTTCTTGATAATAAATTCAATTATAATCAATTTACTTATCACTTTTCTTAAAAAGTAATGGACTTGCTTAAAGCATACGTTTATTATTCAATCGCACATTATATTTCAGCTGACCTTAGAATGAGGTTGCATATCATTAGACATATGCAATAAATATGGTAACATGGCTACTACTTCATACAAATTAAAACCACAAATAGGTGATGCTATCCCAGTTTGTGCTAATAGTAGAGTAATTTATTTTTTAATTACAAAAAAGTTATTATTTTGGAAAGCCAGAATATATAAATATTGAAGTGGCTTTAAATAACTTAAAAATTGAAATGATAAAACATCATGACACACATATAGCAATGCCTAGATAACAACAGGACTAGATAAAAAATAATGCATTATAATTAAACCAATGATTTTTTCAATTTTCATAAATACTAGTATTAATATTTTAATATGTCATCAAAATAATGAATATATTATTAATGATTGGAAAACTGAAGAACATAATTCAGTTATAAACACAATTAAATAATTTTATGATAAAAATACATCAGACAAAGCCAATAATTATAAACAAAATAAATCATTATTTTGATAGCTTAAAAATTTTTGATTCTTATAAAAAGGGAATAAATATTTATAGTGAAAATAATTGCGAATTTTTTTCAATAATTATTATAAACGCACTTAATGCTGGGAAAGATGAAAAAGTAACTTCTGTATTTGAAGTATTAGAACTTTTAGAACTATCTGATTTACCTAATTATTGGTTTAGTGATGATGAATTAGCAGCTGTTGTGAATTATTACAATCATGACACATATATTTTAACACGCTTATATTAGTTTCACATGTATGTTGTTTGTTTGTTGTATGTTGTAAGTTTGTAACTCCACGCGGCACGTGTTATTATGTCGCGTATCCCATCGTCTATGACCTTGAGACTAAACTGTCATAGCGCATTCACCCCACCCCACCCCACGCCTCGCTCATCACACGACGTAAACACTATTCCTCTGTATAAATTTATTTTTGGTTATCGTACCCGTGTGCTTGTCATCAATATTATATACAGAATGTTCAGTAAGTCAGGAAACGGGTTTCTATTTCATTGTTTGTAACAATGAGAACAATAGAAACCCGTTTCCTGACTTACTGAACACTCTGTATATTCCTACCGCCGTTTATACCTCAGGTATAACGTTAGTCCGACCCGCCCGCCCACAAAACACAGCTAAACCTAGTGCATGATACGTTTACATACTTAAGTCGCATTATTTGTATATATATATATATATATATATATATTATAATTACTATTAAAATTTATATATTAACACGGTTTATTCTAATTAAGAGATATAAAGTATTCATTCCGATTACGAGGGATGATTTTTGTATCGTCATTTTTCGTCACTACTTCCATGTTCCATGAGTGGGTAATTTACGCGCCTGCTGCTTTCCTTGGATGTGGTAGCCGTTTCTCAGACTCCCTCCCCGAAATCGAACCCTGTTTTCCCGTTACCCGTTACAACCATGATATTGATAGTAATTACTATCATAACATGAAACTAAAAAGTAAAAAATAAATATAGTTTAAAAAAACACGCTTTTATAGCACATCGAACTAAAAAGTTTAAAATAATTTTTAAAATAAGCTTAAAACAATAATGAACGAAAAATACTAGTATTATTGTGATAAAAGCGTGGGTGCTTTGTGCCATATTTTTCGTATATTGAGCGCCCGACGCTTTTATCACAATAATACTAGTATTTTTTGTTCATCATTATTTTTAACTTTTTAGTTCGATGTGCTTTAAAAGTGTGTTTTTTTAGTTTTTTTAAACTATATTTATTTTATGATACAAATAAAACTGGAATCATTTATGGTTTAGGACCTAAACTTTAGGTAATCGTCCACCTATAGTCTTATAGTCTTATTGTAGATAAAAACACACACTGGATTCCAGGTACACAATCAAATAAAATATTTACAGATATTCCTTTAAAAACAATAAAGTTTACAGAAATTTAATCTATAGACAATTCAAAAAAATCTATTTTTAAACACATAAACAAAAAAGAATCCAATAATATTGAAATTAATAATTTAATCATTAACGAAAACAATTTGTCAATAAAAACAAAATATTAAGAAAATTCTAATAACACAATTTTAAACATTAACACACACATGCATGAAAGTAAGCCAACCATTGTAGATATGGAAGGCAACACAATTAATAATTAATCTAATTTAATAAGCTCTGAACACAAACAAATCTCTAAAACAATAACACCATATAATAATTTACATTTTAAGATTTCTTATGTTGTAACTGTGTTAGCGGAATGTGAATTTACTTCATTGTAATTAAGTCGCTTACTGACATCTTGCAAATCGTGATCAGTGAATTGATATTTGCCCATTTTTATGAATTATTCAATATAGAAGTTGACGATGTAATGTTTTTTAAGTGTTTTAATTATTTAAATTAGTATGAATATTTTATTTTTTATTTTTTGTAAACTTGCAACGAATATGGTTCGAAAAAAAATCCAACCTGTTGAACAAGTGTAATTTACTTACAATATATTTACAAATTAAAGTTAATGTCAAATTCCAAATTGTTCAAATCCTATGAGAGCAAAAAATCACTCTGATAATTTGGAAAACCACAAAGAGCAATACGAATTTTTTTTTGAAAGAAAAAGAAAAAAATAACTATGGAGGAAACAACTCTTTAGTTTAGGTCAGTACTTAGTATTTTTTCAATATTTTACATAATGTTATGTATTTAACTTTTCGTAATTGTTGTGTTTCACATTAGTAGTTTATAATTAATTATTAAAATATTTATTAACCAAATTAATCATTTAAACATTTTTCATGTATTCATGATTATTTGTATTAGAGACAAAAAGTTGAATAGCAAAAAGCAGGACATTTACCGTATAACCAAAAAAACATTAAAACATGTACTAAAAAACTTTAGTGGATTTTTGTGTACAATTAGTTACCAATCGTAAAAACCCAACCTATCGTAACTTACGATAAATGGTCAACCTTGCAAATTGTTAGATGATCCTGGATTTAGAATGATAACGAACCAAATTGTTAATACATAGGTGAAGGTAAGTTAGATTATTTAATTTGTATAAGAGGCTGGGCTTAAAAATTAGAAGGTTTATATTAAATAACTACTGAATTTATAAATAATTTTTTTTTTAATTCTTTCATTTATTTTGCTGTAATTTTATTTTCAAAATTGTATATTCCTCTACCTTAACTATGGAGATCATTTCTTGTTGATTTTAAGAAATGTATAATGTATATATAAAATTTAGGGTTTCTAAAGTGTAAAATTGAAATTGGTTGCTACATTCTATTTTAATACTTGTATATTAACATAAATCTAACTAATCTTTGCTGCCTGCATGATTTATAGATTTTGTATTGACTCTTATAACACAAAGAATTATGTATATTAGCATGCAAAAAACATACTTAAATGTACGATTTAATTGATTAAACTTGTGACTTTATCGTATGTCCGTTAAGAGTGTAAAAAACTAATACAGTATTATGAAGTTCTTTGTTACTATCAAGGGCACTCTCATGGTGGAAGGTAATGGAGTTAGAACCCTTCCCACGATTAAGATAATTATAATGCAAGATGCATTTATTTATTTTTTTTGAAGATCGTAAAAAAATGTCTTATGTATATCCCCCCTTCAAGATAAAACCCTGAAAATGCTTTTCGTTACTATATAGATTTTATATTATAATATATACAGAGTAACAAAACTTTTGACGTAGATAAATATATATAGCTATTGTTATATATTATATACTATATTTTTTATAATAAAAAGTTAAAAATCAATTACAAAATTTTAAAACTTAAATAAATTTTAATTTTTCATTTTTAATGCATAGTTATCTAAATTTTTTAGGTTAGTGACGAGCGTAGTTTTTTTGGACTAAAATTCTTTCTTTCAGACTTAAGGAATTCTATTGGAGGAGTTCTCTTGAGAACATTTTAATAATTCGTGGAAATAATCTTTAATGATTTTACTTATATTTTGTATAAAATTAAAAACAAGAGCTATTTTATCCTGTTATTATTATTTTTTAAATGGGTTCTTTAAGATGAATCTTATGTAAACAAATTTTAGCACTCCTAAATTAGCAATATGATAAAATCTTTTTGAAAGTCTTTATGCAAACAATCATTATATAGAAATCATACTTAATTATTTTATTGAATCGTATAAAGTATCAAAGAGGGACAGAGTGGCCAAGTCGGTAACGCGGTAGTGTTTGACGCGCACTGCCTCGGGTTCGAAACTCGGTCACGGGCGGCTTCATTTGCCGAACGAGAGATCAGTTCGGTAATTACCAACCCGTCCCGGAGTATCAATGGTTTAGAAACCTCATACTCGGGGGATGCCACTAAAGCCCTTAATGGGCTGACAAAGCGATTAAAAAAAAAATTAAAGTATTAAAACGTTCTGTAAAACATAAGTATTTTAGGTATCATTGTTCTAATTTATTTTTTATTTTTAATTTAAGTGAGTGTGAATTATACACACCCTTACCTAAAAATTAAAGTTTCTCCGTTTATTTTCAAAAAAATATTGAACCTTATTTAATGTTGAATATTTTTAGTAAATTTGTTCACTCTTTTGAAAATTTTTTTGGTGTATTTTGAAGTTTTATACTAGGTTGATTTTTTACAGAAGATATCAAGATTTAAATAAAATTTTTTTTTTTTTGTGTATAGACTTAGACAAAAAACCAGTGCGTGGATGATGAGAATTTTTTTCCTTTATGAATATATCGCGGGAAAACTACATCTTTATGGTTCTTAATGGTAAATAGTTCTTTAAAATTTTTTTACGCACAATCAAAATTATTTGAAATTAAATAACTTAATACATTTTAAATAAAATTACTTTGATTTTCGAAAATACAGTACTAAATTATAATATAAAATATACTTTACAGCCGACTGTGGCACTCGATAATTTGTTTTTTTTTAGTCCCTCTATTAAGAAGTTTCACTTCAAAAATATTTCAATATCATGTTTTTAAATTGTTGTTTTTTTATTAATATTGAGCCATTAAGTCTCAAAAAACTAATTTTAATTAAAATTGTAAACTATTCCCAGTCCCGCGTATTTGATGAATATATTTTCTTTTTAAAAAGTCTCTAATGATATTGTAGAGGAGCGCAGGTTTCAATTCCAAGTTTCAATTTTGTGTCTATAGGTAAAACGCTATTAGTAATTCTTGCTAATAATAATGTGAAAAGTAACGAAATTATCAAAAAAAAAAAAAAAGGTTTTTATTCTAAATAAGGTAAAAAAAATGTATAAGTGTTAAATAATACAAAACATGAAACATTATAAATCAATTATGATTACATAACACAAAACGGGAATCATCCATAATTTTATTCGTGGGTTTTTTATGGAATGCGTAAGATAATTGAATTTTATGTAAGAAAATGTATTCTTTTTTTATTTATCTTATTCATGGGAACACAGTTTTGGTGATATATTTTTATTGAGTATATGCAGTAGTTATTACATGTATTAAAATGAGTTACTACAATAAAAACAGTAAATTAAATAATTTTTTGCATACTAATGGAATACTCGCATTAATATAAATTAATTCAAATTAAAGCTTGTTTAATGCGATTAAAAATATATGATTGTATAGTATGATTAAAAAAGTAAAATATTCTGGTGACTTGTCCTCTATAAGCAATTAGCTTTGTAAGTTAAAAATCATCTAATTTTTTATGAATAAAATACAACTTTTTTTAATTTGTTATATATAATACGCATTTAAACGTTTTACGATAGTGATTTTAATCACTGCCAAATATCAATCAATACTATTTTAAATAAATGCCTCAACTCCACTACGCTGGATCCATACTGTGCTTAATTTTTTTTATTTAATAAATCTTCTAAACGAATAATACGAAGTACATAATCAAAAATAAAATTTTTTATATCTGTGAATTACTTTTAACATACTTGGCGGGGTACCTAAACATTTGTTATAATATGATGATTGATTTTATCGATATTTCAAGGTTATTTTGTTTTATGTAAATATTACAAATTGTAAATTGGAGAAATTGAGACAATGCCAGAGCCTTGGAGCAATGCTATCGCTAAAGGTCATGATTTGATAATATGGCAATTTTTGATTATAAAACTAATTTTTTATATAAATATAATAAAATCTTAAGGAAATAAATATTATTCGGCATTTATAGTTTTCCTATTGCGCGTGATATCACAAGAAATTTAATTCTTAGTTTGTTTAAAATAAAAAGAATATTTTGACTGGCGAAAATAAAATGATTTTATAAGGTAAAAATTAGTTACATTACTAAATTTTAATAAACTATGACTAGCTGCGCATCTCTAGACTGGTTGAAAAATTATAACAAATTAAATTGTTTTTAATTTTGAGTAATTTTTATTGTACATAATTATAAATTGTTTATATTATTTGTACTCAATTTTTTAAATATTGATTGCTGATAATTTGTTCATATATGTACAAAATATAAATATCAAACATGAGATGGATTTTTATATAGTTTTTTGAATATTGTATTAAATATATTAATCTCTAAACTTATTAACTTTTGCTCATTTCAAAAATAGATTTCCAGTCATAATCTGTCAAAAAAGAAATTCGATAATTTGTTTTAAAAGACTATGCAAGATAATTGAACGATTTTTATAAAATGTATCACTAGAAATCAACTAGGAAAATCTAGCAAGTTTCAACTTCGTGTTAAAAATTTAGCTTCCTGAAGCTATCAAAAAACATTAAATTGTCTTTTTGTCTCCTCTAATGTTCTAGAAAATTTCGTTAACTGGCGTGTCTAAACACCAAAAAAATCTAGGTAGGTTAGACTTGAAATTTAATATAAATTAATTAATATTCGTGGCAATTATTTTTAATGAATATTCAGCATTTTTTATATTTACTGTTTGTAACAGGTGATTATTTCAAAGAAAATCTTAACGAGATGAAATCATGCAGTAAACCGAATAATTTCCTTAGCAAATACTTATCTGATAAAAATAATATACATTCAATTAAAAATATTATTCGAATGGTTAGTATGTTTTTGTTTAATATGTAGAAACGTTAAACTTAATAGTACTTAAAAGTGGAAATATGGAATAGTAAAAATGAGTACACTATAGGTCCAGCTTAGTGAAGTTGAGACATTTTTTTAAAATGAGTATTCATTGATATTTGTCAGAAAATGAAATCACATTCGTAAAACTTCTCGGTGCTTAATTAATGAAGACAACGACGTTATCGTGTCCTAACATTGCCATGACGTCATAAGGGCGATGACGAATTCTGTCCTAAGATGGTCTTAAATTATGTCTTAACATTGCCATGATTATACACTTTAATTACTTTAATGACTATATACTACAGTTTGACGTCGTTTTTATTTTAAATACATTTATAAATGTAAATAAAGAAGGAAATAAAATAAAAATTTTAAAAATATAATATAAATACGATATCTCTACGCTACTATAGTGTCTCGCCGTGATTTACTAATTTAACTATAAAAATTAATAAATCATGGTGACACACTTTGTATATTCCAACAACAAATTTACATTAACTTATAACCATTAAAAATGTTTAAATATGTACAAATCTGGACTCTAGTCGTAATAATTTTTAAGAATAGTCAAAATATTACTTACGTTTCAAATGTATTTTAAAGTGGTAATACCATGACACGCCTAATAGAGCTAACGTTAACAAGTACCCCCGAAGACTGGTAGTGGTAACAGTAGTAAGGGCCTCACGATGACGCACACGCAGACATTGCATTGACGTCGTACGAGGGCCATCGAGTGCGCAGCATAATGTTAGGCCGCAATTGATGATTTCATGACTATCTTAGGACATAATTCGTCTTCGCCCTTGTGACGTCATGGCAATGTTAGCAAAAACCTAGAGCAATGTTGAGACAGATTGATGACGTCATGGTAATGTTAGGGCACGATGACGTCGTCGACCTTGACCTTGTCCTGGTACTCGCCATATTATATCTACTATATTGTATTATATTTTACAATCATATCATATTCTTAATCACATTAAATAAACTTAGTTTATAATTAATTTAGATTGATGCGAGTATTCTATTACAATACAAATAAATACTACAAAGCCATTTTCTCCCAAAAATGTTATAATTTTTAATCGATAAATCCTAGAAAACAACATATCGCATATTTGTTGTTTTTCAATCTCATAATACATTGTACTGGCTTTAATTTAATGTAAATTAAGAAAAATTAGTTATTTGGGATAAAATAAAAATTTAAAAAGAATAAAATATTTTATTTTCAAACTCAAACAGTACCTTTGTTAATTATTGGATTTTCAAAAAATAATAAGTTATTAACAAAAAAAATATTTGAAGTGTTATCAACGAAATGTGTTAAAAGACTAGTTTTCAAAATTAATTTCAATAAATATGAAAACCAAAAATATCATAAACTGTTGTATAACTGTATATTTTTGGAATTGGAAGAAATGAAGATTTAATTAAGATAGTCCATAAAGAACGGGAGTAATCGCGTATACAACAAAAAAGTAAAACCAATAGCTTAAAATATATTAGAAAACGTTGCCCCAAGTATTTATTTAAAAAATAATATGCAGAAAGCTATATTAATTTAACTAATTTAATATTCTTGTAAATTGTATATTAAATTTCTAGAATTATTTGAGTGCTCCTCTCTACGGAACTCTTTAGTTAAAGACTAACGTTTATTTGTTTTGAAATAGTCGGAAAAATGAAATATTCACAGGACATGAAATATTTCAATGATAGTCAAAAAAATATTTAAATATAAAATGCATATATTTTATTTTTATTATTAAAAAATGAATAAAGATCTTAAACTATATTTAGGGGAAAACAAATTAGGATTGTTCTCTCTTAATTTTTAATTATAAGATAAAATATTTATTAATATACAGAGTGATTTTTTTATCATAACCCACTCAATTACTCGCAGAATAATAATAATTTAAACATTTTTTTTTTTTATTATCTTTAGTTACACATTATTCTTGAATTTTTAACTATGTAATACTTTTTAAGTTCATTCCTTATGCCTTGGAGGGGGGTCAACTTTGTTTTTTTAAATGGTAACACATATTTTTAATTTAATAAAATGTTTGAGTTTTTAATTTAATAGTAAATGGCATTTGAATTTTTAATATAACTTTATTCGTTTATTAGATATAATCATTTAAAGTTTCAAATTTTTGAATTAATATACAGGTATAATACACAAGGGATTACAAATACAGGTAGCTAATTGGTTTTTTATAACATCGATATTAGCAGGTACACAGCATTGTTATTATCAATTGTAGTAAGGCACATTGTTATGAGTTTATAAATACACTAACTGACAATACAGAAAGTATATCTATTGATAATCATAATTGATAATAAACAATCCGTGACTGAGACAGCAATGTCATAAAAATCCAATTAGCTACCTGTATTTACAATCCCATGTGTATTATACATGTATATTAACTCAAAATTTTGAAACTTTAAATGTTTATATCTAATAAGCTAATAAAGTTATATTAAAAATTCAAATGCCATTTACTATTAAATTAAAAACTCAAACATTTTATTAAATTAAAAATATGTGTTACCATTTAAAAAAACAAAGTTGACCCCCCTCCAAGGCATAAGGGATGAACTTAAAAAGTATTACATAGTTAAAAATTCAAGAATAATGTGTAACTAAAGATAATAAAACAAAAAAAGGTTTAAATTATTATTATTCTGCGAGTAATTGAGTGGGTTATGATAAAAAAATCACCCTGTATATTGATCAGTTTTTATTAACTTTTAAAAAATAATGTATGAATCTCAATCTTATTGAAGTATTCGAATACTTGAATTTAAATACTAATAAAATTAATTTTGATTTATATTTATATTTATTGTTCACTTTAAAAGCTATTACTTGTGCCACAAAGAAAACAAGTAATAGCCCGACAAAATCGAAAAGGCCATCTATAATACTATTATTAGAATAATTTTTCAGTATTCTAAATACTTAGATACTTACTTTTACGAATAAACTGTTAATTATTTTGTATTATAGACTATTCATTTTCATTTTTCAATGAGTTCTTAGTTAATGCAAAGAATTATGTTTTTAAAATTTTTAATTCTCAGTATTTACTAAGATAATGAGTGTCTTACTAAATTTGTCCATAGTAGCATTGAATCGTTAGTGTAGCCACAAAATATTTTTTTGTTATTTTTTAAAATTACTGTAAACATAAAAAAAATATTAAAATAAAATATTTTATAAATCTTAATAACCTCAATAATAAAACTTATTATTATTTATTTATAATGTTTTATTTTATATTTTATATTCAAGTTATGGCTTTCATTTGTTGTAACTATGCCATGCATAGCGCCTGGAATGAGTTTTGGATATTCTTCGATCGAATTGGATCAACTACCATTGACAATGAGTGAAGGCTCTTGGTTTGGTATATATGATTTTTAAATACACATTTTTGACAAATATACTTGAGTAACTACTTTTATATCACGGGTTACAATTTAAATTAATAGATAATTAAACCAAAAATTTCATTATATTTTTTCAGCTAGTCTTCCGTCAGTATTAATGCCAATTGGATGTTTGCTTAATGGACCATTGATGGATCGTTATGGCCGTAAAACGGCGCTTCTTGTCTTAAATTTTCCATGTTTTGTAGGATGGTTCTGTTTAGCTAGCCAACCAAAAAATTTATTAATATTGTACATTGGGCGATTATTAGTTGCCATTTCAGTAGCCTTGTCAATAAATCCTGCTGTAGTTTATGCCGCAGAATGCATTACAGTAAATTACACAGAACTAAGAGGTTGTTTTATGATATTGACTTCAATTATGCTTGACTTTGGGATGTTCCTTACATTTTTTCTCGGACTGTTGATGCCAGCGACATCAGTCGCCTACATTGCAGCGGTCATTTCACTTATATCTTTTTTTATCATTTGTATTTTTATTCCTGAAAGTCCTCTTTGGCTATTCGAACAGGGTCGCAACGGAGACGCTGAATTATCACAAAAAGTTTTGCGAATAACTCAACCTATATTACAAGAAAATAAAGTTCAATTAGCTGTAAAAACTTCTGTTGAACACTCGTATTTTTACGTAAGAGTGCGCGATCCGGACGTCTATAAACCAATTTTTATAATGACTACATTTTTTTTTTTGCAACAAATGAGTGGATCTTTTGTGTTCACATCTTATATGATACAAATACTGCAAAACTTGAATATTACCGTGAACAGTTATCTAATATTATTATTAGTTGGATTAATTAACCTTTGTTCTATTATATTGCTATCATTTTCATTAAGTCAAAAAGGATTCAAACCATTATTATATTTGTCATGCATTGGAGTATCATTTTCCATGATAGTATTAAGTGTTTTTTTGTACCTTAATGTAAAAAATACAATAATAGTCAATGTTGTTATATTATCTTGTTTATTTTTGTATACAACAATGAATGGTTTAGGTTTAAGACCCATACCTTACGCTATGATAGGAGAAGTATTCCCAAGCGATGTTGCAGGAATGGGTAGTTCATTTACTGTATGTTGCGCTTCCTTGTTTAATTTCACTGCAATTAAATTGTATCCATACTTAAACATATGGTTAGGGCCAGGAGTGTACGTTACATATGGACTAATTGCTTTACTCACTTTTATATTTGTAGCAACTTTCCTTCCTAATACCAAAGGCAAGACTTTGAAACAAATTGGCGATCATTTTACTAGAATAGACAAAAAAACTTCTAGAGAAGTATATTTAAATTAAGGCAACTTACAAATCTGAAACTAATGTTACTCATATATCAATCAATTTTTAATGTATCAATTATTGAAATTTGTCTTTTTATTTTCTTATAAAACATAAGTTGTTTAATTATTATTAAAATGAATGTGTGAAAACTTTTTTTTTTATTTTTTTTATTTCTATTCGTTTTAAGATTTTACGTCAAATTAAAGTATTTTTAAGCCTAATATACAATAGGTACTATATAAATTTAAATACCCTATAAAAAATAATTATTATAAATCTTTAGTTTACTAAGCTATCAAACTTAAATTTAAAAATATAATTTAAAAAAAAAGTTTGTTGGAAATAATTGTGTTTTTTAACTAACAAATTAAAATAGGTGGTTATGTTTAAGGTACTTTTTTTGCATTATACTGAAGTTGGCTAAAGCCTTGTTAGTATAATATTTTATAAATCTCTTTTAGATTATTTTACTAAAAAAAATTCAAATTTTATAGATTTATTGGTCTGAAATGAGGAAAAAGAGTTATTTGCTTATTTTCTCAATTACATAGAACTTATAAACTGTTTTTGTTTTGAAAATTATTCGATGCTAAATAATCTATCCGCTGTTGCTAAATATTGACATTTAAACGTAAGATATAAAATTTGTGAAAATTGCACGTTTACACATTAATTTTGTTTTTAATAATAGTATAATCTAAATAATATACTTTTATTTAAATTACTTACACATTTGTTGTAGGCACCTGTAAATTTTGACAACAGTTTAAGTTTTACTATATTATTATATATAATATAGCAGAATTACTATATTTTAAAAAATACATTTTTTACTTTACTAAAAATTCTATCTACCGTTAAATAATGAGGGATAGTTAAACGGGTCATTAAAAACTGACAGTTATGTAACCAGTTATAACAGCTACATTACACAAAAATTAAATCAATAGTTTTTAGGTTTTTAAATGATTTATTGAAATAAAAAATATGTAAAACCTCTTAAAAATTTTCAAGTATAAATAATACTACTATAATACTATGGAATTTTTTTCACCTACTCTTGATTTTTTTTTTTTTTAGTGCTTTTAACGGCTGAATTAAGGGCCATAGTGGCCTCTCCTAAAGGAGGAGGTTTTCTTAGCCATTTATACTTGATATTTTTATAATAAGATAGTCTATTGAATTCTTATTTAATGTATCATTTAAGTAACGTGCTATCATTATTTCTTTCTTTTAAATTTATAAACGCGTATCCAACTATTTTCAAATGCAAATTATAATTATTAATTTTTAGTTAACGAAAGAAACAATAATTTATTAATTATATTAGCTTATTAATATTACATATTAATTACATATTAACATACAATAATTATCGAAAATATGAAATACAATTATGAACGTTTTTAATTAATTATTTCATATGTTTTGGCTACTGTTATTTCGATTAAAATCGTTTAATTATTAATTTAATTTTTAAGTTGGATTAACAATTATGATTGTTCAAATGACAGTAAATTTAATGAGGATTTAAAAAATATACATTATATATATATTAAAAATCTGGAAATAATACATATATTATTTTTTTACCATAAAAAAAAATTAAGTTATGTAGAATTAAACTATATATTCTTATAAAATTTTAGAGGACTATGAAATAGTTAGATATCTTTAATTAATTCTAACTAATTGCCCGACTGTACTGTTTTTTTTTTTAATTCTTAGTGTTTAATTTAATAGCCGTTTATGTATTTATATTATCAATTAAAATTCCAAAAAAAAATTGTCAATTTTATCCTTTGTGTGATTTGACGCAACATTTTATATCGAAAACAAAAATTTTGAGAACGACAAATTAATTAAGAAACTGGATTTACAATCATGTTCAGCTTTGTTAAGTTATAACATATATGTGTAGAAAAAGTTTGATTTGAGTTTAAAACTTGAATCAACTATTTGAGGTAATAATAAACCTAACACAAAAATATTAAACTACAAAATAGTTATTTATGCTCATTTTAAATAATTATTTAAAATGTAAATGCTTATATTTCCATTACGCTCATTAGAAAGAATAAAATGTTAGTAGTATAAAAATAGTATAAAAAATAAAAGATTGTACAAGTTTTGTAAAACCATAAGTAACACAATAATATGTTTCCTTCCATTTCATCGAAAACTTAGACTGACTTTATTTAACTAAATATTTTTATAATGATTTTTTTTATCATAAATTTATTATGTTTCCTATGTTTTCTGGATAGTTATCTGGATATGTTTTCTGAAGTTGAATGTTCTTGAAAATAAAATTATGTTTAGTGATAGCTATGTGTCAAATAAACCTTAATTTCAGGTCATGTAGAATTTCAAGTAAATCTTTTGAAAAATCAAAGTTTACCATACTTCCACTTATAGTCATTCTAATTATTTTGTAGCTTTGTATGAGAAGTGCCTTAAAATAATAAGTTAATATTATGCTACAGCCTATGTTGTCTAGAACAATTGACGTTTTTTTTTACATAGATAATATGATCCATACATTTTTGTCAATAGGTATGCTTTAAGCTAATAAAAGATTCTACCCATCTTTCTTTCTTTACCTTGAATACAACTGTATTAGGATTGAACAGTCTAATTAATCCAACAAATCGCCATAAAAATAAAAACTCTTAGACATTCATTTGTATAAATTTACTTATCAATAATATTGAATTTCACTAAAACCTGAAATTTTAATAATTTTCTTCGATAAACATTTCAATTATGAATATCATAGAAAAGTATGTTGTATCATTTTTAACTTTTAATTTTGCATTATTAAATCGTTTTACTATGTATTAGATGCATACTCTAAACAAGATCTTAACAAAGGAAAAAAACTGATTTTAATGTATCTAAACATGAATAATAATTTATTCAAAAAAATTATCATAAAAAATTTCTTTACTTTTTAAAAATTGTTTATGTGTTTTAATTAATAGTTTACTATTGAATAATACATCCAAGTTTTTAATATTTGTGTAATGTATTTAGAATTTGTTCTGAATTATATAACTATTTATTATTATAATTTTCTTTAAAGTAAAAGAATATATAGAACATTTTTTTAGGTTTAATTTAATTTAATTTTTATTACACCAATTCGTAAAATTTTCTATATCATATTTAAAACTTATTGTATCAGCCAGTATACAATTGATTTAAATATATTTGTATCATCTGCAAATTTTTGAATATTTAATTACATTAACTAAATAGTTGACGTACAACAAAAAAAGTAAACCAGATAAATGATTATTATAAAATAAATGCCAGATGTAACATTTATGATACCAGATTGGAAGTTTCTATAAGTCACTATTTGTGATTTATTTGTTAATAATGAAAACAAGATAGCAATTGAAATAGTATTCCAATGACTTTTAAATTTCTTTACAAACAAATTTATGTTACCTTTATTAAAATAAACTATGTACATGTTTAATATGATGTATATAATTTTGCTATATAGCGCAATGACTGTCTTTTAATGACGAAGGCCAAATTATTCTGCAACCTATTTTTTCTAGAACAACTGTTATTACTAGTACATAACTGATGTAATCAATAAGTTCCTTGATAAGGCTCTCTATGTAATTTATTTTATATGTTTTAAAATTGAGTTATTTGTTCTACTGGGATATATAAATCATAAACATAATACTGAAACAAACATTCACCCTTATGAGTTGAACTAAAATTATGATTAATAATATTGTTATCATCATATTGTCGTATTACTTAATAGCTTTACAAATAAATAAAGCCTTTAGGTCCTAACTGATTCAACTATAAACCTTTTCTCTTATAACACTGCTAAGGAGTATGTCAATCAGCAGTCCGCCGTAATCCAAAAGAGTAATAAGACTAAGGGTACTCAACTATTATTAGCACAAATAACTCGTTAGATTACAACCAAGGACGTGACGTTTAGAGACCCAGATATCTTTTAAAGAGAAACTTATTATACTTTTACTTGTAGTAATAAAAAAATTTTCAATAATAACACTAACGTAATTATTAAAAATATAATTAAAACGAATAGCCAATCTGAAAAAAAAATCATTCATAGTTAGGTTATTTCTTTTTATTGTATGGCACTTATTTTGATTTAATGTCCTAACCTTTTATAATGACAAAAAAATAAGTATAACATTTGATCCACATACTGTTAACATTTCTTGTTGGTAAAAAATGATTTTAAAAAAATAGATTCAATAAATATTTAGTACTTAAGTATTACATATTCTAAAATATCATAAGTAACAAAATATTCAAAAACCTGGCGTGGCGTATCAAAATTTCAAAATTCATGTAAAAATGATGTATCACTTTTGAATTCTATTTCACTTTCGTCAATTAAAAGTTCATTTTTTTCTTCCATAATACACTATACTATTAGCTGAGTAATACTTTTTAAGTTAATCCCTTATGCCTTGAAGGGTGTCAACTTTGTTTTTTTTAATGGGAACACAAATTTTGAATTTAATAAAATGTTTGAGATTTTAATTTAATAGTAAATGTTATTAAAACTTTAAAGTTTCAAATTTTTGAATTATTATACATATATAAATTTACAAATACAGGTAACTAATTGATTTTTTATGGCTTCGCTATTATAGTCACTGAGTGTTTATTATCAATTATGAATCAATAGATATGCTTTTTAGTGCCAATTGGCATTGGTATTTATAAATTCACAACAATGTGCCTTACCACCATTGATAACAAATGTAGCGTACTTACGAATATTGACATCATAAATAACCAATTAGTTGAAAATTAGTTGGTGAAAACAGCCCAATAATGGTCAATGTAAAAACTACAAAGGAAAATTCTTACATGCAAGCAATAACAAGTAATTCATAATAGGTTAAAACTTATCAATAACGTTTAAATATCGAAAAACGTAAAACATAAAAAATTGATATTGTTTAAACACTACAAAACGGAAAACATAAATCCATAACGTTTCAATTATTTAAACGTATAACGTAATAATATTGTTAACGTTTTAATTGTTATAACGGAAAAAAAAATTTAATATGTTCCTGAGGTTGTTTAATTAAATTTTTTTAGAAATATTTGAATTGATCTGTAATATAGCAACTGAAAAACTACTAATATTTTCAAGACAAAAATTTCGTTCCTGGGTAGCTATATCATTAGATAAATTATTATTTAATTCTACCGCATCACTTATATTTATATATAGGTCAAGAGGTTTATTTAGAATTTCCAAATTNATCATTTCATTAGATAAATTATTATTTAATTCTACCGCATCACTTATATTTATATATAGGTCAAGAGGTTTATTTAGAATTTCCAAATTAATATTTTCAATAGTCAGACAAAAATTGCGATTCGCCAAAAACTATTCAGCAAAGTTTTCTATGTCTCCAATATCTGACATTTCGTCATCTTCGAATTCATTTTGAACTTAATATTGTTATAACTGTGTAAAAAATGTTTGGATTTATATCATTTTTCTTACATAAATACTAGTATACACAAGTATCTTTTTATCTGACATACTTTTTTTAAATTATTTTAAATTTTAGGATAATGTCTTCAACTAAATATAATTCAGGTTCAATGATTTAGTTATTGCTAATATTTGTTCAATACTTTTATTGAACATGAGTCTTAGTGACGACAGTAAAAAAAAAACCCAGTACAGTAGATTTTTTAGATGGATTTTTTATCTCAATTGTTTATATGCTCCTAATATTTTAAAACTACAGGTTTAAATTATTTGTGAAAAATTCAACACGTACCATAAGTTTTGGTGTAAATGATTTATTTATTGAATCATATATGCATCATTTTTCTTTGACTGAATCATATCATATGTTTGTCGATACTGTAAAATGAATAACTTCAAAGATATCAATAATTCTTTTTTGCACAATAGCCAAAATATTACACTAAAAGTGTCCATTACATTATTATCAGTCTATCGTGAATTTTTATCAGCAGTGTTTTAGGAGATTTTTCTTTATTACCGGGACTGAAGGGAATGTTTCAAAACTATGGAGCTAATAGCATCAACTAATTATATTTTGTGATCTTTTGATTTACCGTTGAAAAAAATCAGTCCAATAGGAGCAGAGGATATGTGATAACAAAAAAACACATCATAATAAAATAAATACTTTCCTAACTTCATATCGAAACTAAAATATTAATGGAAAAAATATTTAAAAATTTTCCAAAGATAAGAGGCATTTCCGGGTCATTCTACTGTCTAGACATAAAGATGTTAATAACTCCCTATGTACTGATTCAAAAGATAATATCGACCAGTCTCTATTTTAATTAGATCATTATCTAATAAATATGCTAGCTTATCATGTGCGTTGTCATTTAAAAAATTAAAGTTAACACCCATATAAGATATAAGAGATGAACATAAAAAATGATTGAAAAACATAAAACATCAAACTAAAAGAAACTATAAAAAGTTATTAATATTATTTATATTTTTTGATTAATTAAGTGGATAAGCGAATCACTCTGTATAAATAATACACAAGTCAATCAATTACACATCAAAGTTTAAAATAATTTGTTTAATTTAACACATAAAAAAGGATGTAAATATTTATCAGTTTTCATTTTTTGCACTCTTAAATTTATTTATGTTCGCCTAAAAAATAAAAAAAATTGACGTCAACTTTTGTAAAATAGCTACGATTTTATATAGTATAACATAATATGCGATACTACTTTATGTCTAAAGATATTTAAATCAGTCTAAATGTATACGTAGGTTAAGTTTTAAATATTGTGATTATTTATTCATTCTAAATATAGTTTTAATTTTAAGATAAAGTTGTGTATAAATCTTAATATTATACTTTATAATTTAAATATACAATGTATATTAATATTATTATTAAAATTTATTCGTTGCACAGTAAAGAAAAAATTTCATAGAAATTAAATTTCTGTAGGCATTAATAAAATAAAATAATAGGCTAAAAATATTTATGAACACTTCCTAATTTTTGGGACCTGTCAAGATTTTCTCGATAGCTGCTCTTCTCACCAATATAAGGATTATAAGTCTAACCACATTTTAATTTACAATCTTATGAAATCATACACCTAATTATAATTCTATCTATAAAATGAAATGTATTACACAGGATCTATTGTTACAAATTAAATAATAAGTAGGATCAAACTAATATCATTGATATTTAAAGATCTGTAACTTAATTTATTGAATTATGATAATAGCACGGATTGTTTTAAGATCAATCGACTGGATTTTATAAAAAAAATCTTATTTTTATTACAATTTAGTATAATACGGTAACATAAAAAACATTTTTTAACTGTTAATTTAAATACAAGAAATTGTATGAATTTCTTAAATTTAATTTGAAAAATACTTTTTTTTTTTAGTATTCAAACAAAAATAACAATAAATAAGTATAAAACCAATAAAAATGAAAGATCAATCGAAGAAAAACAGTCAAACGANTAAATAAGTATAAAACCAATAAAAATGAAAGATCAATCGAAGAAAAACAGTCAAACGATAATGTCAACACAATCATACAAATATTTAATTTATTCAGTTGTTGACAATGCAATAGTTCTAAAATTTTGAATAAAAAGACGTTTATGTTTAGGATTTGAGCACAATTAAAAGTGAGGTAATAAATCTCTTATTTACAAGTTTCATTAAATTAATTCATCATTATGTGTTTTAAAAAATATATAAGTTTTTGTTTGATTTACCACTTCTCAACAATATGTGCAACAAAATTAGAAATGAATATAATGCGATCAACTGTTCCTCCTAAAATCAGGTATTTCATTAATAATATAAATAATACTTTATTAATAGTACTAATTTAAATATGATAAGTATAGTGGTAAATAAAAGAAAATAATCATTAATGTACAGTTTTATTTATTGTGCTCTGAGAACTAAGACATTCAATTACATTGAGTGTTTTCAGATTTTTTAAATAACTCTAATGACCTTACAGTAGTAAAAATTATTTGTATAAAAACCAAACTATCATATGAGTAATTAATTAATTACCTGTGAACTTTTACATTCATAAGAACGTGCATAAGAACACACAGGCTTTTCACACAAGTTTTCATATTTAAAAATTTTCTTCCAAAAAGAGTTTTTAGTTAATAAAAAATATTTGTGTTCTAAGTTAATATAAAATAAATTTTTACAATTTGGTAGTGTTTAAATATTAAAACGGAATAAACAAGAAAATTAGTATGAATTTTGTTAATTGAATATCTTAATTTGACTTAAGTACCCTCAGGGGGGTGCTAAGTAATTAG